ACTTTACTGTACTTAATGATATCGATAAATAAACTTATAATGTTATTCTACGACTTAACGTCCAACGCTTTTTAAAAACTTTGATATGTTTTGAATATTCTGTTGTACAAAATGATTAGTAAAGTATATTTACATTCCCCTTTTGTTGTTACTTTTTGTTTCATACAGCAATTGTCGCGACTTGATCACTGAGCTTTGAAGCTCTCTGCCGCAGGCAGACCATATGTCGTTGTGTGAATAATGTGCATGCATGGTTTTTCTTGGGGAAACATTCTAACAAACACATGCTTATGCAGCAGGTTCTCGGTCAGAAAACGTAACGGTCGTACATACAAACAAGCAGAATAATAGTATAGATTTCAACTGTTTTTTCAAGTCTTTAATGTATTTATTTTTTTATCATAATAATCAAAACAAAAACTGAATGGAAATAACTATCAGTCATTATTGACATATAACAACACAAGTCATTGATACCAGCACTCTAGTCATCTCTTTCAACAAATAAAGACCACACAAAAAATGATTTAATTTGGTCACAAGGAAACTTTCATTTAACTCCTTAAACCCAAGTGAACTCTTTCAGTGTCCGGCCAAAAATCTCAATTTACCCATCAGACAGTGACACCAAATGTTCAACAGGGAGAGTTTTGAGGCTATTTACTCAAAAATGCTTCATCTGGGTTTGCCCGATACTGAGGCAAAAAACAAAATTAAGAAAATTGATATTTTATAAGGTATGGTAATAGTTATTAGGAAATCATTAAAATAATAACAGCAGAATGTGTAAAAAAAATATGAGTATAATGAGTTAAGTTTAAAAAAACGACAAAAAGCTCCAGTTTATGAAACTCACATAGGTTTCTTTGTTTAGAAATATTTGGCAAATAACCCAGTAAAACTTTATACAATAAAGGTATATGTACCCCTGTTGAACTTTAACACGTCATATAGGTCATGTAAATTGTCTTACTAATGAATAATGTCACACAATAATTATAACATTACAAAATTAGCATTGACTGAAGACAAAACTCTCCGTTCACTAATCAGCTCCAATATGAACTAAGTTGATGAACCTGAGGCTTTACGTAAAGCAAAACAGGAATGCTTACATAGATAAGGTTAGTTATTTGTCTAACTTCTTAAAAAACTACCAATACCTTCACGTATGATGGTGTGTTAACTAAATCTTATGTGGTTAACTCAGATAAATGCATGATCCATATACATAATCCAAAACTCAAACAATATTCCTAGGACTGCAAAATGTACTACCTGATATGCGTTGGATTTTAGAAGGGAAAACAACAACATTTGATTAAAAACAACAACAACATTTTAGCTAGATATTACAGACTTTATTACTGCAGTATTTAGGACTAAAATAATTTTAATGCCACACAGTTGTAAACCGTTTAGTTATTTATAGTGGCCTTAGTAGTGCTTTGCCATAAGAATGATAGGACAAGTAAGTTTAGCGGCAACTGAAATCAAACCCAAGACTTTCAAATCATCAAAGCTGAACAAACTTGAATTACAAAATAGAGTCTAAAACTGGGAAGTACAAAGACAGCCCATTATGAAACTTAGTACTTAAAAACAAGCAATCATAATAGCAATACTACGATTTACTTGGATACTGAAAAATAGTAATAATCTGACATTAATTTGGATTACTTGATTATTTTAGAGGTGACTGATTTTATCTTAAATTTCAATTAATCAATTGTTGTAATAACAAAAAACATTAATTTAGATTAATTTACATGACATTAATCAATGTAATAGCTGCTCATAGGTAATTGATTACATCAGTTAATAGATTAAATTGCCCAAATGTAATCCCAAAGAAGGTTTGTAATCTCTTTATACTAATAATCATAAGGATGGATCTAGAACCTTACTTTGGTATTTAATATTTTACCATACATAACAGTCACCTTTGCATTCCCAAATACCCCTTTCCAGAGTAGGACAACAATACAGCCATCTTCTTAAAACGTTGTTTGGGACTCTCAGATGACAGGTCTTCTGACTTGTGTTGCTCATCCACAGTAATATCCTTGAGAAAGTCCTTTAACAACAAAATACAGTGTTTACAAAATTGTACCCTATATATATTAATGTGGAGAAAATTTAAGGATATGTATTTACAGGAAGTGCAGATACAGAACCAACCATAGAATTCTTTAGAATCCCAACAAAAATATATTTTCTACTTTTAAAACTTACCAACTATTTATTTATTTATTTTCTATATTCGATAAAAACAAATCCATGAAAATGTGAAAAATTTTCAGTTTTAACATACTATTTCTTAAAATTCAGTGTAACACTTCCTGAACAAGAGCTAATGTAATTCTGACAATTTTATCTAATTTTCTAAGCTCTATAAAATATTAACAATGACAGTTTCTATCCACAGCTATCACAGAACTTTAACAATGACATATATCCCTAACCTATATGAAACTCTAACAATGGCAAATAACTTCTGTCCACAATCTATAGGACTACTTTAAAAATGGCAACAGCTTGTATATAAATTTAACAATTACATTATATCTCTCTCCACAACTTCCATAAAGACTTCTATAAATTTCACTGAAATTAATCTGAACTTCCTTAGAGATTTCACAAACCTCATTTTCTAACTTGGGTTTCTTTGTAATCTCTAATGTTAGAGTTTCTTCATCTCCAGCACTACATCGCTTTTCCCCTTTTCCAAATTCACCTTGATTCATTGCAGCAATGATTGAATGAAATGTCTGAATATTAGATATCCTCTTCTTTTTTCCCACTGTTCTAACTGTTTGAAGGAAGTTTTTGGAACCTGAAATAACAGAGAAATGTTGCATTGACAAGTTTGTTTTTGCTGTTGTGTACTAAACTATTTATAATATTAAATAAAATTCAGAAACATTTTTTAAGTATTTAACTACAGCTGAGAGAAGGCTTAGGAAAAAATAATTATCAATTAACACACTAATTTATTGTATTTTGAACTATAAAAATTATTAATGGGTATTATATATTTGAATGCATTCATTCAAAGATATGATGTGCAAGCCTTTACAGAAACAATTGCTTCACTAAGAAGTTGCAGTAGGTTAGGTCACGATCAAAAATTTTGATCAAGTTTCAAAGCTTCTTGAAAACCAAATGTTAATCCATTAGAGTCCAGTCACATACTAATAGTACATGCATGAACAAGTATACTTACAGGTCAGAAAGTAGTGTAATTCCTTGTTAGCTTTGAACATTTGTACCGGTACTAATAGAGTTCATATAAATATTATATATAGTTTATACACCATTATATAGTAACTTCCAATAACATCCAAATTTTTGAATGTTTTCAAAGTTATAATAAGACAAAGTAAAGTTAAAGAAGCTCAATCAGCCAATCAAGACCACCACTAACACATAAAAACAAGCAAGAAAAACTTAATCTGAGTTAAAACAAAAATAACTTTTTGAGTTATATAACTTTTAAGAGTTCCAGCTAAGAGCACACACAAGGCAAGGTCTCTCTCAGGCTTTAACTAACTATAACTATAAAATGATCCTGTCAAGTCTTGATCAAAGCTCAAAACCTATTACTTCTAATAATCCACTTCTTATTTTCAACCTTTCCATTCTACCACTCAAACAATAGCCTAACCATTCAAAATGCCTGATTACTACTAGTTTTCTCTCAATTTGATATACTACACATGAAAAAAAGTGTACATTTTAAATCTCTCGTTCTAGCCTAAATTACTGAAATATTATTCTATCAGCCTGTCTTCACATGCTGATATTTTTCATGTGAAAAAGGGAAATGAAACTGCTCCCAGTATTCCAAACAAGGCCTCACCAGTCTTCTGTGAGATTATATATAAAACCTTCTTATCCTTAAGTCCAAATTAAATATTAATATAATCAACACCAAGATACTGAACACCAGTGCTTCTTTTACGTTTATTTTCTTTTTCCAATTTCTACACTTTAAATGCTTAGCTTTAACATATAACAAGGACAAGGTCCATCCACTAAAGTAAACTAAAAAAAAACCATAAAGCCAGCCCTTAAAATATTTATCAAGCCTTCCCTTAAACCCTTTTAAATTTATGGTATCCACCAAATCTGAAGGCAAGCTATTTGAAATGTAAACCAATCTGTTAGAAAAATAAAACAATCTTAGTTTAAAATGATTTATACTCTGTCAACATTCATATCTGTGTCCCCTTGTCTTACCATTCTTATTATGAAATAGAAAAAAAAGATGATGCATCAACACTATCAATTCTAGTAACAATATTAAACACCTCCAACTCTTGTTATTTTAAGAGAAAACTATTTCAGAGGTCTTAATCAACTATTGTATAACAACATTCCTATCCCAGGTATCATCCTAGCACCTCTCATTTGAACTTTTTTCAACAATTCAATGTCCTTCTAAAGATAAGGAGCTCCAAACTGAAATCAATACACCAAATGAAGCCTAACTAGTCTTAGTTAATATAAAATTATAAAAATACTATAGCATGAACACTTTGAAAAGGTGGAACTTTCTTATTCAGGGGCAAACTGAAGAAGAAAGGTTCACCGTTCGAAAGCTCTCGGGTTATAGGATTTTTATCATTTTATATAGATAGATTTTTGTTACATTCAAACATGAAAAATGCAGGAAACTTATCTTAACTGTATAGGTCACATCAGCTTACAGAAGGAAAAACCTATCTTAACTGTATAGGTCGTATCAGAAAACCTATCTTAACTGTATAGGTCGCATTAGAAAAACTATCTAACTGTATATATCACATCAGCTTACAGAAGCAAAACCCTATCTTAACTGTATAGGTCGCATTAGAAAAGCTATCTAACTGTATATATCACAACAGCTTACAGAGGCAAAACCCTATTTTAACTGTATAGGTCGTATCAGAAAACCTATCTTAACTGTATAGGTCGTATCAGAAAAACCTATCTTAACTGTATAGGTCGCATTAGAAAAGCTATCTAACTGTATATATCACATCAGCTTACAGAAGCAAAACCCTATCTTAACTGTATAGGTCATATCAGAAAACCTATCTTAAGTGTACAGGTCATATCAGAAAACCTATCTTAATTGTATAGGTCACATCAGCTCCCAAGGCAGATGCAGAGAACCAAAATCTCTTAATCATGTAGTCTTCTCCGCCTAAGTTTTCTCATAAACAATTACCCATTAATTAAACAAAATATGTAGTCTATATAATTCAATTAAATTATAGTAATTAAAAATGCAAATCAGATGCAGAAATAATAAAATGTGACTAAAAAAACTTCTGTTTTCCTGTCTTCAACTTAACTTAAGATGCATGGTTGTCCATCACATTTCAGAACATTGGGGATTACAGACACACATTTATGAGTATAATTTTGATGGGAATAATTTTAACAGTGTTATGGAAGAATTCTGGTTGATCAGTCTCTTAAACCATCCAAGCAGTGTGCTTGTGGTAGGACAAATATGATTTTAGGCTGTATCTACAAAAAAAAACTGAATAAAAGTCTAAAAGAGTTTACAGTTTCATGTATAAATCACTGGTTAGGCCATATTTGTAGTACTGTGTCCAGTCTTCAGCTCCTTATATTAGAAAACATTTAGCAGAAAGAGTTCAAAAGAGGACTACTACAATAATACCTATGACAAAAGGTTGTCATATGAGAAAGGTTAAGACCTCTGAACTGTTTTATTTAAAAAAAAGAGCTATAGGGGATCATCAAGATATTTAAGATTGTTTAGGGAATTGCTAAATTATCCTTTTTCATACTTAATGGTGAGAACGGTACAAATAAGGGACACAAATATAAATTTTGGCAGGGAAGGAGTCATCTTCAGCTAAGACAGTTTCATGATTCTAACAGTAACAGGTTGATTGACCTTTGAAACAGGTTGCCTTCAGATGTAGTGGAAGCAGTAAATTTAAGGAAATGACTGATAGGTATTCGAATGATAAGGGCTGGTTTGAGGTTTTTATTTTTGTTCTTCTTTTAGTGGACTGGATGGCCTACGTCTTTCTTCTTCGAATTTTATGTTAATTACTTAAACATTTAATTTTTGGCAAACATCTGCAATTAAGTCTGATTATTTACAAACCAGTGTAAATAATTTCTTTTTTTTTCTTCTAATTTTTAATGTTTAATTTTGTATTGAAAATTGAACAAAGACTATGCTCACCATGATTATAACTAGTTACACTTAATTATATATTTTTGAAGGCCATAGATAGGCCTAAATAAAATGTTTTTAATTGTGTACCAGTTTAACGTTGAATATTATTTGTGATTTTAGTTACACTTAAGTTACAAATTACAATGTTATATTAAACAAGTCTCATAAACCAAAGCACATCAAAGCCCAAAATTCTGGGGTAACAAAGCAAAATCATATTTATAATCAAAGTTAATCTACACAAGTATTACTTGGTATAAATAATTATTAAAGACTAACCTGTAGTTTGACCTCTTACCCTTGAATTTGAATTCGTAATACAGAATTCTTACCTAAAATCAAAATTGGAAAAACCTTTAACAACACTCGCACAGTCGTCATAAACACTTTTAAAAATAAATATCTTCGGAAAAACCTAGCTCGTTATTGTTTTAATTTCACGTTAAGAAAGCGTATTACCAGCAAAAACTAATTAAAACTTAAAAGTAGAGTACTCAATCATTTCTAGGCCTACGTCCTCTGTAACTTAGTGTGGTTCCCTTAAACATGCTACGAAATTCCATCAGCGCCCTCGTAATAAATGTAAAGATATTTATGTGTTAAAATATAATTATGTGTAAACAGATATGATAAATGTTTTAACTTTTAATTTTACGTTAAAACTTCCAATGTTAATATAAATAACGCTTTTTTACTTCTTTGTAAAGAGGGAATACGCAATGGAGGGTCTGTTCTCTGCCTACAGAGAACAGTTAAAATATAATTATGTGTTAAAATATAATTATGTGTAAACAGATATGATAAATGTTTTAACTTTTAATTTTACGTTAAAACTTCCAATGTTAATATAAATAACGTTTTTTTACTTCTTTGTAAAGAGGGAATACGCATTGGAGGGTCTGTTCTCTACCTACAGCAGGTATCTAAACCCAATTTTAAGCGTTATTAGTCTTCCGACCTACCGCTGATCCACCGGGGACATAATAATACTGTTGCATATCTGCTTGTTTGATAATTTCCCGTAGAAATGCTTTCCGAGAAAGTCCTTTCTTAATTAAAACTAGTTTATTCTTTCTCGATACAACTTTGCAATACAATGAAATTCAACAGCTCTGGGCATTGCATCCTGCATAGTAGAGGGGTGTGCTTGCTTTACTTGTATCTTTTAACACCAAATGTCTCATGTTCTTTCACTAAGCAAAATTTATTACTTTATCTCTTGCTTTTGTTCTAATACCAAATGTTTCATGCCCTTTCACTAAGCATAACTTATTACTTTATCTCTTGCTTTTGTTCTAATACCAAATGTCTCATGCTCTTTCACTAAGCATAACTTATTACTTTATCTCTTGCTTTGGTTCTAACACCAAATGTCTCATGCTCTTTCACTAAGCATAATTTATTACTTTATCTCTTGCTTTTGTTCTAATACCAAATGTCTCATGCTCTTTCACTAAGTATAATTTATTGTTTTATCTCTTGCTTTTGTTCTAACACCAAATGTTTCACACTCTTTCACTAAGCAAAATTTATTACTTTACCACTTATGTGGTTCTCAAACACCAGATGTCTCATGCCTTTTCGCAAAACAAAACCTTTTACTTCATTACCTATCCCCTATTCAAAATATTAATATTTGACTTAGACAATGACTGGCCCTACTTATACTCACAGCTACAGAGACATTTTATCTGTGATTACAAAGTTTCACATCATTAGAGAATCCACTAAGCTTAGTTTTCCAAAACTGAAACTACCAGTTTTCATAAGGGCATAATCTAGGCCCCAAATTATTTTAAACGCTAATAGCCAGATAGACTAATACCTTTCTTGATGCTTACTTTACCGGAGAAACAGAAGGTTTCTTGTGGATCATTCCTCTTCCTCTTGGTTCAACCTAGTTCTGACAATTCCTCCATGAGATGGATTACTGCTTCCACTTCAAATCTTCAAATTTGATATTAAATTTGGGAGATTTTTCAAAACAATGTGGAACTTAGTAGGAAAAATGGAAGACTGTTATAGAGAAATTGTAGAGTAGTAAAGAAAGTTTAAGAACACAACTAAGAATACATCAGAGAATCTGGAAAACTCGATCACAAACATGAACAGAAGAGAAAATAATGGCGGTGTAAGTCACGTTCAGTCGAATTAGTTCAGCTCGAGGGAACAAGTGGATAGACATTAAAATATAAACTCTAGGATTACAAATGAGCAACGACACGAAGAAATTGTAGAAGTAAATGTTGAAAGTCTTGTTCTCCGATGGTATTAAAATGTATTTAAAAACAATGAAATTCCTCAAGTTAGGCCCGGCATGGCCAGGTGTTTAGGGAGCTCGACTCGCAATCTGCGGGTCGCGGGTTCGAATCACCGGACCACCAAACATGCTCGCCCTTTCAGCCGTAGGGGCGATATAATGTGACAGTCAATCCCACTATTCGTTGGTAAAAGAGTAGCCCAAGAGTTGGCGGTGGGTGGTGATGACTAGCTGCTTTCCCTCTAGTCTTACACTCCTAAATTATAGAGAGTTTGACCTTGATGTTAATAAAGGGAGTTTGACCTTGATGTTAATAATGGGAGTTTGACCTTGATGTTAATAAAAAGGAGTTTGACCTTTATGGTAATATAGAAACTTTTACCTTGATATTAATAATGGAAGTTTGATCTTGATGTTAATAAAGGGAGTTTGACCTTGATGTTAATAATGGGAGTTTGACCTTGATGTTAATATAGAGTGTTTGACCTTGATGTTAATATAGAGTGACTGACCTTGATGTTAATATAAAGAGTTTGATCTTGACATTGAACCAAAGAGTTTCTCTAGTAATTCAGACCGAGATTACAATTAAACACGAACCTCAACAGTACAGAAAAGCAAATGTCCAGAAGTGGTGACAGTCCTGAATATAATTGTCACCATCCACAAGAATGATCAACCTTAATATTGTGTGATAAAGTTCGGAGTTATACAATGAAATAGACATGAGCCTTGATCACATGGCCTCATAATCTATGAAAGACTATGACAGTAAAGTACAAATGAAATAGTTGTCATGATTATTTACTCGGTATTCTACGTGATAATGTGTAACTATTTTGGCAGACAGATGACATTTTTGACGTGTTTTGAAATAATGTAAACATTCATAACGCCTAATTTCACAGAAATCATAAACTCCAAATAATTTTAAATCTTAGGAGATAAAAGTGACTTAGTGTTAGAATACAGACAGATCAAGGAAAGTCGGACTTTAAAGTAATCATTTATTTATTAACAAGATCTTTTAAACAATTAAATTGAATTTAATTTAATTGATTGGATTTTTTTCCCATACACCAGCAAGTTTTTTTAGTTAAGGTGTAGTGAAACCACTAAAAGTTCAGTTGAAAATACGAAGTTTATAGATTGTAGTTACTAATTTGGTGTTAGAGATATATGTCACAATTATGTCAGTCGCATCCCAACCAGTCTGAGGAGCCCTGGTATGTAACGAAAGGCCTCGTCGGCACTTTATATAGCAGGTATTACTGCATATTCTTCTTTGCTTTCGCTTATGCGTTTTTGGAATTGCTAATATGGTTTTCTCCTGCTGACACTGTGGCCGTTTGATCTGTTCAGAGAACAAGCAGACTAGCTTGTTGGTTCACATGGTCTTCTGAAAAGTTAATTCAAGTTAAAATACTGATGATAATTAAAAGGTGATAAGTGAAATTATATATAGATAAATAATATAGTGTTATTCCTCCTCACTTAATACTTAGATTTATAAATTAGTTAAAAGAAACTGATAATCACATTTCTCGTCGTTAATCTAGTTCATACCATTACAGTTGATGGTCATGGAATTGATAAAACGAAGAGTGACTCGAACACTAATTCATTTGTCGTATACCAGCCGGCCTGCTGAGCCCTAGTATTAGGCGAAAAAGCCTATTCAGAATGAGTAATGCCAGATAAAAAAAAAGACAAGTTTCATTGTTACTGTACCAAGCGCTGTAGTAGTAAGTAAAGGAACTAAATATTTTGGTTATTGGGACTTAGACCACGTGAGTGTATGATAAGAACGAGTGGTTGAACGAGAAGTGGTAAACATCGTATTCTCCAAGTGAGAAATAAATAAATTATTTTATCCTCGACTTTATTCAAAACAACATAGCTCTTTAAATGTTTTTCTCAGTCAAAGAGAAGTCAGGAATACTTTAGAGAAACAAAAAAAGGATAGAGTAAGGATCTAAAAAGGTGGCGTCGTAAACTAAAATTAGAATGTTACAAGGACAAACATAAACTAAAGTTAGACTATTACAAAAAACCCCCATAAATTAAAGTTAGACTGTTACAATGACAACCATAAACTAAAGATAGAATGTTACAAGGACAACCATAAACTAAAGTTAGAATATTACAAGGACAACCATAAACTAAAGTTAGACTGTTACAATGACAACCATAAACTAAAGTTAGACTGTTACAATGACAACCATAAACTAAAGT